GTTTAGCCTCAGCCCAAACTTTATCGCTATTACCAGTTGTTGTCTTAGCTCTCTCTAATAACACCTGTGATTGCTTTATGCCTCTCTCCCATGTCAATTATGCCTTGCCTATTGCTGTTTGGGTTAGTTCTTATTATACAATTTCACTGTATAACCCCTAGTCCCTCTCAAACTGCCTCAAATAGTTCCTTTGTTCCACCCCCCATACACGCCGAGACCGGCTCAATCGGTGCCTCCAGTGATGCTATCTCTTTCATTGTTACCCAACGCTTAGGGTTACCTCAACTGTACTCATATCCTTCCATATCCTTTTCTGTACATAATGCCCTGAATCTTTTCTACAACGCCCGGAGAACTGCCCCCTTTATTCTATGTACCCAACGCACTAGAAGACCAGTTCTTAAAGCCTTTAGTCGTATCCTTATTCTAGTCCTCCTCTGTTCCTCTGGTGATGTAGAGGCTAACCCAGGCCCTGCAGCCCCCAGTATCACTCCTACTCCCCAGGAGCTATCATTTGTTGACTTCTGTAACCGTAAAAGCCTTGGTTTTCTGCACGTAAATATCAGAAGCCTCCTTCCTAAGTTTGAGTTATTCACTGCGTTAGCACACTCCGCCAACCCTGATGTTCTAGCAGTGTCTGAATCCTGGCTTAGGAAGGCCACCAAAAATTCTGAAATTTCCATCCCCAACTATAACATTTTCCGTCTAGATAGAACTGCCAAAGGGGGTGGAGTTGCAATCTACTGTAGAGATAGCTTGCAGAGCTCTATCATACTATCCAGGTCTGTGCCCAAACAGTTTGAGCTTCTACTTCTAAAAATCCACCTTTCCAGAAATAAATCTCTCACTGTTGCCGCTTGCTACAGACCCCCCTCAGCTCCCAGCTGTGCCCTGGACACCATATGTGAATTGATTGCCCCCCATTTATCCTCAGAGTTCGTACTGCTTGGTGACCTAAATTGGGATATGCTTAACACCCCGGCCATCCTACAATCTAAACTAGATGCCCACAATCTCACACAAATTATCAACGAACCTACCAGGTACAACCCTAAATCCGTAAACATGGGTACCCTCATAGATATCATCCTGACTAACTTACCCTCTAAATACACCTCCGCTGTCTTCAACCAGGATCTCAGCGATCACTGCCTTATTGCCTGCGTCCGTAACGGGTCCGCGGTCAAACGACCACCCCTCATCACTGTCAAACGCTCCCAAAAACACTTCAGCGAGCAGGCCTTCCTAATTGACCTGCCCAGGTATCCTGGATGGATATAGATCTCATTCCGTCAGTAGAGGATGCCTGGTTGTTCTTTAAAAGTAATTTCCTCTCAATCTTAAATAAACATGCCCTTGACTGCCCTTGACCAGCACAAAAACATCCTGTGGCGTACTGCATTAGCATCAAATAGCCCCCGCGATATGCAACTTTTCAGGGAAGTTAGGAACCAATATACACAAGCAGTTAGGAAAGCAAAGGCTAACTTTTTCAAACAGAAATTTGCATCCTGTAGCACTAACTCCAAAATGTTTTGGGACACTGTAAAGTCCATGGAGAATAAGAGCACTTCCTCCCAGCTGCCCACTGCACTGAGGCTAGGAAACACTATCACCACCGATAAATCTACAATAATCGAGAATTTCAACAAGCATTTTGCTACGGCTGGCCATGCTTTCCACCTGGCTACCACTACCCCGGCCACCAGCTCTGCACCCTCCGCTGCAACTTGCCCATGCCCCCCCGCTTCTCCTTCACACAAATCCAGACAGCTGATGTTCTGAAAGAGCTGCAAAATCTGGACCCCCTACAAATCATCTGGGCTAGACAATCTGGACACTTTCTTTCTAAAACTAGCCGCCGAAATTGTCGCAACCCCTATTACTAGCCTGTTCAACCTCTCTTTCGTAACGTCTGAGATCCCCAGAGATTGGAAAGCTGCCGCGGTCATCCCCCTCTTCAAAGGGGGTGACACTCTAGATCCAAACTGTTACAGACCTATATCCATCCTGCCCTGCCTTTCAAAAGTATTTGAAAGCCAAGTTAACAAACAGATCACCGACCATTTCGAATCCCACCGTACCTTCTCCGCTATGCAATCCGGTTTCCGAGCTGGTCATGGGTGCACTTCAGCCACGCTCAAGGTCCTAAACGATATTATAACCGCGATCGATAATAGACAGTACTGTGCAGCCGTTTTCATTGACCTGGCCAAGGCTTTCGACTCTGTCAACCACCGCATTCTTATTGGCAGACTAAATAGCCTTGGTTTCTCAAATGACTGCCTCGCCTGGTTCACCAACTACTTCTCTGATAGAGTTCAATGTGTCAAATCGGAGGGCCTGTTGTCTGGACCTATGGCAGTCTCTATGGGGGTGCCACAGGGTTCAATTCTTGGGCCGACTCTTTTCTCTGTGTATATCAATGACGTCGCTCTTGCTGCTGGTGACTCTCAGATCCACCTCTACGCAGACGACACCATTTTGTATACATCTGGCCCTTCATTGGACACTGTGTTAACAAACCTCCAAACGAGCTTCAATGCCATACAACACTCCTTCAGTAGCCTCCAACTGCTCTTAAACACTAGTAAAACTAAATGCATGCTCTTCAACCGAACGCTGCTTGCACCCGCCCACCCGACTAGAATCACTACTCTCGACGGGTCTGACCTAGAGTATGTTGACAACTACAAATATCTAGGTGTCTGGTTAGACTGTAAACTCTCCTTCCAGACTCACATTAAGAATCTCCAATCCAAAGTTAAATCTAGAATCGGTTTCCTATTTCGCAACAAAGCCTCCTTCACTCATGCTGCCAAACATGTCCTCGTAAAACTGACTATCCTACCGATCCTTGACTTCGGCGATGTCATTTACAAAATAGCCTCCAACACTCTACTCAGCAAATTGGATGTAGTCTATCACAGTGCCATCCGTTTTGTCACCAAAGCCCCATATACTACCCACCACTGTGACCTGTACGCTCTTGTTGGCTGGTCCTCACTACATATTCGTCGCCAAACCCACTGGCTCCAGGCCATCTATAAATCACTGCTAGGCAAATCCCCGCCTTATCTTAGCTCATTGGTCACCATAGCAACACCCACCCGTAGTATGCGCTCCAGCAGGTATATCTCACTGGTCATCCCCAAAGCCAACACCTCCTTTGGCCGCCATTCCTTCCAGTTCTCTGCTGCCAATGACTGGAACAAATTGCAAAAATCTCTGAAGCTGGAGACACTTATCTCCCTCACTAACTTTAAGCATCAGTTGTCAGAGCACCTTACCGATCACTGCACCTGTACACAGCCCATCTGAAATTAGCCCGCCCAACTACCTCATCCCTATATTGTTATTTATTTTGCTCATTTGTACCCCAGTATCTCTATTTGCACATCATCTCTTGCACATCTATCATTCCAGTGTTAATACTAATTGTAATTATTTTGCACTATAGCCTATTTATTGCCTTACCTCCATAACTTGCTACATTTCCACACACTGTATATATATTTATTTCTGTTGTATTTTTGACTTTGTTTTGTTTTACCCCATATGTAACTCTGTGTTGTTGTTTTTATCGCACTGCTTTGCTTTATCTTGGCCAGGTCGCAGTTGTAAATGAGAACTTGTTCTCAACTGGCTTACCTGGTTAAATAAAGGTGAAATAAAAATAAATAAAATAAAAGGGGGATTGGGTGCACCAGTAACTCAAACACTTGACAGTGGAACATTTTTAGCACAGCATCGGATTCTGGGGAAGCGGATTTACATCATTGTTTTGAAAGGAGGAGGAGGTGGGACTTGGATGACCCTGAGTTGTTGTCGGTCTGCCAGAGCCAGTCAAAGAACACACAGTAAATCATGGGATGCTGCATAGTCAGTACTCTCTCACTGACACACACACACAGGATAAAGTCCTAAATTGAGTAGAATGTGGCAAATGACTGATGACTTGTGAAAATGAAATATTCATGATGGCTGCTACAGCATTTCATGAATACATCAACACAAGTCTGAACCTGACCCAAAATAACCTACCTGTTTTATATTACCTCACTATTCTAAGCAGTATTCTCAGCAACTTAACTATTAAACCACAAATACTACTGTAAAATGTAATGTTGTAAATACAGCAGGCATAAGAGAGAGAGAAAAAAGACAGAGAGAGGTAGAGAGAGCGATAGAGAGAGAACATAATGAGAGAGAAAGCGAGAGAGAACATATTGAGAGAAAGAGAGAGCGATAGAGAGAGAACATAATGAGAGAGAGAGAACATAATGAGAGAGAGAGAGAGAACATAATGAGAGAGAGAGAACATAATGAGAGAGAGAACATAATGAAAGAGAGAGAGAGAACATAATGAGAGAGAGAGAACATAATGAGAGAGAGAGAACATAATGAGAGAAAGAGAGAGAGAGAACATAATGAGAGAGAGAGAGAACATAATGAGAGAGAGAACATAATGAGAGAGAGAACATAATGAGAGAGAGATAACATAATGAGAGAGAGAGCAATGAAGAGAGAACATAATGAGAGAGAGAGAACATAATGAGAGAGAGAGCAATGAAGAGAGAACATAATGAGAGCGAGAGAACATGAGCGAGAGAGAGAGAACATATTGAGAGAAAGAACATAATGAGAGAGAGAGAGAACATAATGAGAGAGAAAGCGAGAGAACATATTGAGAGAGAGAACATAATGAGAGAGAAAGCGAGAGAACATATTGAGAGAGAGAGAACATAAGGAGAGAGAGAGAGAGAACATATTGAGAGGGAGAGAACATAAGGAGAGAGAGAGAACATATTGAGAGAAAGAACATAATGAGAGAGAGAGAGCGAGAACATAATGAGAGAGAGAGAGCGAGCGAGGAAGAGAACATAATGAGAGCGAGAGAACATGAGAGAGAGAGAGAGCGATAACGCAGCAAGGTGCATAAAGGAGGGAAAGCTAAAGGTAGCGAGAATACAGAAAGAGAGAGACAATGAAAGTAATGGATGGAGAGAGAGGGACATTCATCCTTCTCTCCACAGTTTGCTCTGTCTGCCCCGGTGCGCTCTGGCGCTCAGGCGTCCCCAGAGACAGTCTGTCCTTATCACCTTGGACAGGTTGAAGTCCCCAGAGACAGTCTTTCCTTATCACCTTGGACGGGTTGAAGTCCCCAGAGATAGTCTGTCCTTATCACCTTGGACAGGTTGAAGTCCCCAGAGACAGTCTGTCCTTATCACCTTGGACGGATTGAAGTCCCCAGAGACAGTCTGTCCTTATCACCTTGGACGGGTTGAAGTCCCCAGAGACAGTCTGTCCTTATCACCTTGGACGGATTGAAGTCCCCAGAGACAGTCTGTCCTTATCACCTTGGACGGGTTGAAGTCCCCAGAGACAGTCTGTCCTTATCACCTTGGACGGGTTGAAGTCCCCAGAGACAGTCTGTCCTTATCACCTTGGACGGGTTGAAGTCCCCAGAGACAGGCTTTCCTTATCACCTTGGATGTGTTGAAGTCCCCAGAGACAGTCTGTCCTTATCACCTTGGACGGGTTGAAGTCCCCAGAGACAGTCTGTCCTTATCACCTTGGACGGGTTGAAGTCCCCAGAGACAGTCTGTCCTTATCACCTTGGACGGGTTGAAGTCCCCATTGACAGTCTGTCCTTATCACCTTGGACGGGTTGAAGTCCCCAGAGACAGTCTGTCCTTATCACCTTGGACGGGTTGAAGTCCCCAGAGACAGTATGTCCTCATCACCTTGGACGGGTTGATGGGAGTAGTAAAGGGGAGAGGAGAGGAGGCGAGGCGTCGCTCCATTCGCTTTTCCTGACAAAGGGGAATCCTGATACACCCTCAGTCACACCCCACACTTGACTTTCACTATGCTGTACACTGTAAATTATACATGCACCTCACAGTACTGTCTGTACTCTGTACATACTAAGGGGCTATGCTTCAAGACTGCCTGCCAGACAGTGTGTGGAAGAATAACATATGAGGTGATGTCTTGTATTGATAGATTCCGTACTAAATGGGTAACCTTAGATTCTGTGCTAAAATGCCTGATGTCTTTCTCTGGTTGGGTTGAATCCAATGCATTGGTTTCACTGTCTGCATCACACAGACCTTCTCCCCCTCTGTGTGACAGCACAGAGAAACACCTCACAGGGCTTCACCATACATAATGTAATACAGAAATAAGATATGCAGGAAGCCCTCCTACAGCCTTCTGAGGACGTTTTTTCCCCCGCTATAGATATAGATGTATCAGTATACTGTACCTCTATTTTGGAGTTGACACTGGATGACCCAACAAAGGACCACAACAACCAGCAGAACTTCAAATCAAATCAAATTTTATTTGTCACATACACGTGTTTAGCAGATGTTATTGCAGGTGTAGCTAAATGCTTGTGCTTCTAGCTTCGACAGTGCAGTAATATCTAACAAGTAATATCTAACAATTTCACAACATATACCCTATACACACAAATCTAGTAAGGAATGGAATTCCTCTGCCCATTCCCATTCTCAGTCAGTTCCCATCACCCCCTCACGTACTGTACTGCCCGCGCCACCCCCATTCAAATCCCCTTTGGTTGTCCCTTTCCCAGTGATGTACAGTGTCTATCTCTGTACTTGAACTCGGATGACTCGGGGACAGTGTATTTGGAGGGAGGCTGACTTTAAGGCCGTCCCAGTGGGGATAGGGTGTGTATGTGGTGCGGAGAGGAGATCTGTAGCTTCAACCTCATTCTGAACGGACCTGGCCTGGGTGAAGAAATTTAGGCTTTAGTTGTTTGTTTAACCAGGACTGTTCTCTCATTAACAAGCAAGACTTGGGCTACCCAAGAAGTGTGGAGTGTGAAAACAAACAGAAAAATAAGATTTTGTCTATAGTTTTCTCTGTGCGTTAGAGAAAATCCCTGTCTGATTGCCTGTGTGTGTGTGTGTGGTTGTGGCTCTCATCTAGGTTGTTGCAACCATTGGTGGCAGGCATGGTGATAAGGTATTCTGAGGCACACACACCCACATACACAAAGACAGACACCCACACACACACACACACACACACACACACACACACACACACACACACACACACACACACACACACACACACACAGGCAGACATAGACACACAGGCGTACAAACACACACAAAACACCCTCTGGCAATGTCCTCACATGACGGAGGCTAAGATGAAAATAGACCTGCTTTCAGTTTACCATCAGTGACTCAATATGATGCCACAAAATATATAGACGCAATCTACAGCCTACACTCCGAATACCAGGGGTCTCCAACCCTGTTGCTTGAGAACTACCCTCCTGTAGGTTTTTGCTCCAACCCCAGTTGTAACTAACCTGGTTCAGTTTATCAACCAGCTAATTATTAGAATCAGGTGTGCTAGATTAGGGTTGGAGTGAAAACCAACAGGTAGATCTCCAGGAATAGTGTTGGAGAGCCCTGGTCTACAGTATGTGACTGTCAAAATACTTCTGTGAGATTTCTCTGAGATTTATTTTAATTTTCTGTAAGCTGTCCACAAATATACAGTGTGTTGCTGATATGACAAAAAAACAAAACCTTGCAGTTGACTTTTCCAACAAGCACCGACTAGGGCTGTGGCGGTCATAACATTTTGTCAGTCGGTTATTGTCACGCAAAAGACTGCCGGTCACAAGGTAATTTACCATGAATTAACATAAACATGTTTAGCATCTCCAGGCTCCACTCATAGAAGCAACATACAAGCCTCAAATGCACGCCTTTGGAACAATCTACATTTTAAATAGTGTAATAAATCAATTGAATATACACCATCACAATAAATTCATTATTTTTATCAGGTCTAAAGAAACATTATGATATGAAGAAAATGTATTTCAGAAGAACAGAATATTAGTTGGCATACTGTATGTTATCTGGCTATGCTCCATGCCATAGGCAGTAGGCTTGTTCAATTAGGAAACAAGATATGCTTATAAGTAACGTGCCATTATTTTATGTTATATCATTTTATAGTAAGAAGAATATATTTGAACTGAGCTGAATAAAATATAATGGATATTTTTCCCATTCCGGAGTGAGAGTGCGCGCATAGGAAGTGGTTTTGTTGAGCGTAAAAGTGATAATTTGAAACAGGTCCTATACGCTAGATTTAGAGTTATTTGGCATCTTTAGTTGTGAATGATGCAAATCTTAGAATGCCTTAGAAATCAAAAGATATACTGTATGGGCTGCATGATGCGACTATAGGCTATTGATGATTTGAGAAAGTCGCCAAAAAAAGCTTGCGCTCAAGCCTCAAGCTGCACACACTGTTCTTTAATCGTGATCATATTTTCACCCATAAGACTATTCTCAATTTAATCTTGTATTTACTAATATGTAAAATTAGTTTAGATTTACACTGAACAAAAATATAAATGCAACATGTGAAGTGTTGGTCCCATGTTTCATGAGCTGAAATAAAAGATCCCAGAAATGTTCCATGCACACAAAAAGCTTATTTCTCTCAAATTTTGTGCACATATTTGTTTACATCCATGTTAGTGAGCATTTCTCCTTTGCCAAGATAATCCATCCACCTGACAGGTGTGGGATATCAAGAAGCTGATTAAACAGCATGATCATTACACAGGTGCACCTTGTGCTGGGGACAATAAAAGGCCACTCTAAAATGTGTAGTTTTGTCACACAACACAATGCCACAGATGTTTCAAGTTTTGAGGGAGTGTGCAATTGGCATCGACCTCACAACCACAGACCACGTGTAACCACGCCAGCCCAGGACCTCCACATCCGGCTTCTTCACCTGCGGGATTGTCTGAGACCAGCCACCCGGACAGCTGATGAAACTGAGGAGTATTTCTGTCTGTAATAAAGCCCTTTTGTGGAGAAAAACTCATTCTGATTGGCTAACCCTGGCTCCCCAGTGGGTGGGCCTATGCCCTCCCAGGCCCACCCATGGCTGTGCCCCTGCCCAGTCATGTGAAATCCATAGATTAGGGCCTAAGGAATTTATTTCAATTGACTGATTTCCTTATATAAACTGTAACTCAGTAAAATCATTGAAATTGTTGCATGTTGCATTTATATTTTTGTTCAGTATAGAATGACCCATTTATCAAATGGGCAAGAACAGGGGCAATACAAAAAAGACATGTCATCCATATGCACTGGAATAGCGAATGGAGGCCACTTTCCCGCCGTTATGTTTTTCACTCATGTTGGGTAGGCTACTCTGGTAATTTTGCTGCGCCACAGTTGATATTCCGCTCAAACTCTGTATGCCATGGGCTCTCCTCTTCAACCTTGTTCCTGCAGCTACCCAGTGCTTAATTTGGGAAACATAGTGAAATATGTTCAGGAACATTGATAGTAACCTGTTTTCACAACGAATTAAGCACTGGTTGACTGTTGATAGCCCCTCTCTCTGCGTGCTGGAGAAAGGAATGAAGGAGAGAGGGTAGGAGATGGAAACTTGACAATTATATCCTCCTTAAGGCGTATTGTCATCCTTAAGGAGGATAGAATTGAGTCAAGTGTGGTGTGTGTTCTACTTCAGTGACTTTGAGTGAGTGTATGTGTGTGTGTGTGTGTGTGTGTGTGTGTGAGGTGGGCAGGTTCAGGTTGGCGGTTTGCATCCTGTGACCGGCATACAGGTGGTCGGGAGGAGAGTGTGAGGGTGTGAAACACACTTCCTGCGCTGTGAATGTACGGAGGCGTATTGTCACTGTCGCTCACTAAAATAACAGGATTCACTTGTGGTAACTTCTCACTGCCTTGTCATTTACATTTTACATTTCAGACATTAAGCAGACGCTCTTATCAAGAGCAACTTACAGTTTATGCATCCATCTTAAGATAGCTTTGTGGACAGTTTACAGAAAAGCAAAATACATCTCAGATTAATCTCACAGAAGCATTTTGACAGTCACATACTGTATTGCAGGGCTCTCCAACCCTGTTCCTGGAGAGCTACCGTCCTAATCTAGCACACCTGATTCTAATAATTAGCTGGTTGATAAGCTGAACCAGGTTAATTACAACTGGGGTTGGGAGCGAAAACCTACAGAAGGATAGTTCTCCAGGAACAGGGTTGGAAAACCCTGGTGAACGGAGTGTAGGCTGTAGATTGTGTCTATATTCTGTGGCATCATATTGAGTCACTGATGGTAAACTGAATAACTAGGACTGGCTGAACTGACTCCAGGTCTATTTTCATCTTAGCTCCATCATGTGAGGACATTGCCAGAGGGTGTTTTGTGTTTGTCTGCCTGTGTGTCTATATCTGCCTGTGTGTGTGTGTGTGTGTGACTGTCTTTGTTTATGTGCGTGTCTGTCTGTCTTTATGTGTGTGTGTGTCCGTCTTTGTGGGTGTGTGTGTGTGTTTGTGTCGTAGTGGTGGCTCAGAATACCTCATCACCTTGTCAGCGTGCCTGCCACCAATGGTTGCAACCCAGTGTGTAAGAGCCTAGATGAGAGCCAGATGCCTGGCTGGAACAACCACACACACACACACACACACACACACACACACACACACACACACACACACACACACACACACACACACACACACACACACATATGCAGTCAGACATGGAAAAATGGCTAGTTATGGCTGAAGGAAAAGCTCAGTGCCAGGACACGGCACATTATAGACCAGGCAGGAGCTACCGGTCCTGTGTCAGCAGGGATTTTCTCTACCACACAGAGAAAACTATACACAACTTCTGTACAAATCGTTTCCTTTTTTTTTGTCAGTTTGTTTTCACACAGTCCTGGTTAAACAAACAACTAAAGCACCATGTCAGCCAAGTGCATACATTTCTTCACCCAGGCCAGGTCCGTTCAGAATGAGGTTGAAGCTACAGATCTCCTCTCCGCACCACATACACACCCTATCCCCACTGGGACGGCCTTAAAGTCAGCCTCCCTCCAAATACACTGTCCCCGAGTCATCCAAGTTCCAGTACAGAGATATACACTGTACATCACTGGGAAAGGGACAACGAAAGGGGAATTGAATGGGGGTGGGGAGGGCAGTACATTACGTGAGGCAGTGATGGGAACTGACTGAGAATGGGAATGGGCAGAGGAAGTTCTGCTGGTTGTTGGGGTCCTTTGTCAGGTCATCCATTGTCAACTAGGGCTGGGTGATATATCTAATTCATTTGATTAATTGGAATGTATGTTTTTGCACGATATTCCAAATGCCTGTATCGCAAAATCTAGTTTTTTTGTTTTTATGAGCGTTTATGTCCGCTTGTTCTCATGTTGTCTTTTTGGTCTCGTCTCCTTCGCTCCTTCTGTGCTGTGCACCTTCCCATTTACACCAGAGATCTGTATATAATGACGAGATGGTCATGTCTCCGCCCTAACAATGGGAGTCGTTGTCCCAAAGGCAGGAAGGCAGGCGACAAGCTTAGGTTCAAAGTAAGCACATATAAACGCATTGGGCTTATTTTGGACAGATTCTGGCGAGAGTGAAACCTCTCATGTCGCCTCTTTCTCCCAAGCCCCTCCACCTACCAATCACAACAACAAAGATGAGAGATCCCTTCTTCCTCTCTGACAAACGGTTTCAACTCGCTATTTGCATTTCAGGTTTGGTCCAACAGAATCGGTCATATGGACACCGAAACACATGGAGACATTATTTTACTGTAATAGAGGAGAAGTTAACCTTTCGAACCATACCCTGTTTGTTTCAAATCCTCAAATATCGAGCAGAGCAGACACTACTTAAACGGATGTACCAATGATCATTCATTCTGGACAATTAATGTTCAGTTTGTCGCGCGCGCATTACGGTACCATGTATCGCTAGCAGCATTTTAGTCAAATAAAGATTGTTATGCTAGCTGTTTGGATGACTGTTTTATAAATGTGCAATAAGCATAAAACAATTATATAAGGAATTGGCAACTCGTTCTCATTCTGAGAAATAAGGTAGGCCACTTGATTTCAACATCTGAACAAAGTGGACAGGCTAGCATGCTGTTCAAACAGTTGGAGACGGGCCATAACAATTCAACTGTTTTGCCTTGTTAGCTGAATTCAGAGCTTGTGAAATTATACCTAGATCCAAATTGGCTAAACTGGAAATATAAATATTAGCTGGCTACTCTCTAGCACGTGGGCTTGTGCTTGAGAGATTGTTTATGAGACCGGTGTTAATTTTCTATAATGCCTGCTACATTATTAGTGAATGTGCATTATGCATGGTTCTGGTTAAATTTGTAACAAAAAGGGCATTTTTATAGACAGATCAGTGATTATTGCAAAAAAAAGCAGGTACAACTATTTTCATCAAATAATTAAATTATTGTGTGACGAGTACTGAGGATACGAAGAGGCAGGACGCAGACACAGGAATCAACAAGGTAAAGGTTTACTTAACAATGAGAAAGAGAATAACAATGAGCGAGTAATCGACACAACGCTAACAATTACACACAACAATGACTGAACAGTCCAGGTCTATATAGTGGTGGTGATGAGATGAGGTGCAGGTGCGCTGGAGGTGATTAGGCTGCGTTGGGTTTCCATTCCTGTGATGCCGAGGTGGTGCGCTCAGACCGGTGGCTCAGTAGACCGGCGAATCAGAGCGCCGGAAGGGAGGAGCAAGGGGAGGAGACGTGACAGTAACCCCCCCACGTCGCCAGCCATGAGAACGACCCCGAGGACGAGGAGCGGGCCGGTCAGGGCGGCGACGGTGGAAGTCATGAATTAGGTTGGGGTCCAGAACGTCCCCAGCCGGAACCCAGCTCCTCTCCTCAGGGCCATACCCCTCCCAGTCCACCAGGTAACGGAGCCGTCCCCCACGGAACCTGGAGTCCAGCATGTCCCTCACCGCATACGCCGGAATCCCATCAATGTCCAAGGGCGGAGGGGGCGTACCCACGGGGGACGGCATCCGCCAGAGGACCAGGAACCACCGGCCTGAGGAGAGACACATGAAAAGTAGGTGAGACGGTAGTGAGGGGGAAGGAGCAGCCAGTATGATACCTCATTAATCCGCCGGAGGACCTTAAACGGCGAGATACAGGCCCGTCTGAAGTTTGCCAATGAACATCTGAATGATTCAGAGGAGAACTGGGTGAAAGTGTTGTGGTCAGATGAGACCAAAATTGAGCTCTTTGGCATCAACTCAACTCGCCGTGTTTGGAGGAGGAGGAATGCTGCCTATGACCCCAAGAACACCATCCCCACCGTCAAACATGGAGGTGGAAACATTATGCTTTGGGGGTGTTTTTCTGCTAAGGGGACAGGACAACTTCACAGCATCAAAGGGACGATGGACGGGGCCATGTACCGTCAAATCTTGGGTGAGAACCTCCTTCCCTCAGCCAGGGCATTGAAAATGGGTCGTGGATGGGTATTCCAGCATGACAATGACCCAAAACACATGGCCAAGGCAACAAAGGAGTGGCTCAAGAAGAAGCACATTAAGGTCCTGGAGTGGCCTAGCCAGTCTCCAGACCTTAATCCCATAGAAAATCTGTGGAGGGAGCTGAAGGTTCGAGTTGCCAAATGTCAGCCTCGAAACCTTAATGACTTGGAGAAGATCTGCAAAGAGGAGTGGGACAAAATCCCTCCTGAGATGTGTGCAAACCTGGTGGCCAACTACAAGAAACGTCTGACCTCTGTGAATATTATTATTATTATTATTATTTTTTAACAGCGCCGGAGAAGATGGCTGCCGTTTTACAGCCCTCTAACCAATTGTACTATTATGTGTGTTTTTCTGCGTTATTTTTAATTTATTTTGTACATAATGTTTCTGCCATCGTCTCTTATAACCAAAAAGAGCTTCTGGATATCAGGACAGCGATTACTCACCTCGTATTGGACGAAGATTTTTTCTTCAACGAGGCGGCCGCGAAGGATATCATACAGACACCCGACAAGGCCCAAATCCCCGTCATTCGCGTGAGGAAGAGACAGAGATATCGTGGACGTAGATCGGGGTGCCTTGTAAGAATCCGACGGCGAGCGAGTAAACTGCCTCTTCCATCAATCCTATTAGCCAACGTTCAATCATTTGAAAATAAATTGGATGACCTAAGATTACGGTTATCCTACCAACGGGACATTAAAAACTGTAATATCTTATGTTTCACCGAGTCGTGGCTGAACGACGACATGGATAACATACAGCTAGCGGGCTATACGCTACATCGGCAGGATAGAACGGCTGACTCCGGTAAGACAAGGGGTGGCGGTCTGTGTATATTTGTAAACAACAGCTGGTGCACAAAATCAAATACTAAGGAAGTCTCGAGGTTTTGCTCGCCTGAGGTAGAGTATCTTATGATAAGCTGTAGACCACACTATTTACCAAGAGAGTTTTCATCTATATTTTTCATAGCTGTCTATTTACCACCACAAAGCAATGCTGGCATTAAGATTGCACTGAATAAGTTGTACAAGGCCATAAATCAACAGGAAAACGCTCATCCAGATGCAGCGCTCCTAGTGGCCGGGGACTTTAATGCAGGGAAACTTAAATCCGTTCTACCTAATTTCTACCAGCATGTTAAATGTGCAACCAGAGGAAAAAAAAAACTCTAGACCACCTTTACTCCACACACAGAGACGCATACAAAGCTCTCCCTCGCCCTCCATTTGGCAAATCTGACCATAACTCTATCCTCCTGATTCCTGCTTATAAGCAAAAACTAAAGCAGGAAGCACCAGTGACTCGGTTAATAAAAAAGTGGTCAGATGACGCAGATGCTAAGCTACAGGACTGTTTTGCTAGCACAGACTGGAACATGTTCCGGGATTCTTCAGACAGCATTGAGGAGTACACCACATCAGTCACTGGCTTCATCAATAAGTGCATCGATGATGTCGTCCCCACAGTGACCGTACGTACATACCCCAACCAGAAGCCATGGATTACAGGAAACATCCGCACTGAGCTAAAGGATAGAGCTGCCGCTTTCAAGGAACGGGACTCTAACCCGGACGCTTATAAGAAATCCCGCTATGCCCTCCGACGAACCATCAAACAGGCAAAGAGTCAATACAGGACTAAGATTGAGTCGTACTACACTGGCTCTGACGCTCGTCGGATGTGGCAGGGCTTGAAAACTATTACAGACTACAAAGGGAAGCACAGCCGCGAGCTGCCCAGTGACACAAGCCTACCAGACGAGCTAAACCACTTCTATGCTCGCTTCGAGGCAAGTAACACTGAAGCATGCATGAGAGCACCAGCTGTTCCGGATGACTATGTGATCACGCTCTCCGTAGCCGATGTGAGTAAGACTTTTAAGCAGGTCAACATTCACAAGGCCGCAGGGCCAGATGGATTACCAGGACGTGTACTCCGAGCATGTGCTGACCAACTGGCAAGTGTCTTCACTGACATTTTCAACATGTCCCTGACTGAGTCTGTAATACCAACATGTTTCAAGCAGACCACCATAGTCCCTGTGCCCAAGGACTCTAAGATAACCTGCCTAAATGACTACCGACCCGTAGCACTGACGTCTGTAGCCATGAAGTGCTATGAAAGGCTGGTCATGGCTCACATCAACAGCATTATCCCAGAAACCTTAGACCCACTCCAATTTGCATACCGCCCCAACAGATCCACAGATGATGCAATCTCTATTGCACTCCACACTGCCCTTTCCCACCTGGACAAGAGGAACACCTACGTGAGAATGCTATTCATTGACTACAGCTCAGCATTCAACACCATAGTGCCCTCTAAGCTCATCACTAAGCTAAGGATCCTGGGACTAAACACCTCCCTCTGCAACTGGATCCTGGACTTCCTGACGGGCCGTCCCCAGGTGGTAAGGGTAGGTAACAATACATCTGCCACACTGATCCTCAACACGGGGGCCCCTCAGGGGTGCGTGCTCAGTCCCCTCCTGTACTCTCTGTTCACCCATGACTGCATGGCCAGGCACGACTCCAACACCATCATTAAGTTTGCCGACGACACAACAGTGGTAGGCCTGATCACCGACAACGATGAGACAGCCTATAGGGAGGAGGTCAGAGACCTGGCCGTGTGGTGCCAGGACAACAACCTCTCCCTCAACGTGACCAAGACAAAGGAGATGATTGTGGACTACAGGAAAAAAAAGAGGACTGAGCACACCCCCATTCTCATCGACGGGGCTGTAGTGGAACAGGTTGAGAGCTTCAAGTTCCTTGGTGTCCACATCACCAACGAACTATCATGGTCCAAACACACCAAGACAGTCGTGAAGAGGGCACGACAAAGCCTATTCCCCCTCAGGAGACTGAAAAGATTTGGCATGGGTCCTCAGATCCTCAAAAAATTATACAGCTGCACCATCGAGAGCATCCTGACTGGTTGCATCACCGCCTGGTATGGCAACTGCTTGGCCTCCGACCGCAAGGCACTACAGAGGGTAGTGCGTACGGCCCAGTACATCACTGGGGCCAAGCTTCCTGCCATCCAGGACCTCTATACCAGGCAGTGTCAGAGGAAGGCCCTCAAAATTGTCAAAGACTCCAGCCACCCTAGTCATAGACTGTACTCTCTGCTACCGCACGGCAAGCAGTACCGGAGTGCCAAGTCTAGGTCCAAAAGACTTCTCAACAGCTTCTACCCCCAAGCCATAAGACTCCTGAACAGCTAATCATGGCTGCCCGGACTATTTGCACTGCCCCCCCACCCCATCCTTTTTACGCTGCTGCTACTCTGTTAATTATTTATGCATAGTCACTTTAACTCTACCCACATGTACATATTACCTCAACTACCTCAACTAGCCGGTGCCCCCGCACATTGACTCTGCAACGGTACCCCCCTGTATATATAGCCTCCACTGTTATTTTATTTTACTTCTGCTCTTTTTTTTCTCAACACTTTTTTTTGTTGTTGGTTTATTTTTACATTTTTTGTTAAAAATAAATGCACTGTTGGTTAAGGGCTGTAAGTAAGCATTTCACTGTAATGTCTGCACCTGTTGTATTCGGCGCATGTGACCAATACAATTTGATTTGATTTGATATGATTTGCCAACAAGGGTTTTGCCACCAAGTACTAAGTCATGTTTTGCAGAGGGGCCAAATACTTATTTCCCTCATTAAAATGCAAATCAATTTCTAACATTTTTGACATGCGTTTTTCTGGATTTTTTTGTTGTTATTCTGTCTCTCACTGTTCAAATAAACCTACCATTAAAATTATAGACTGATCATGTCTTTGTCAGTGGACAAACGTACAAAATCAGCAGGGGATCAAATACTTTTTTCCCTCACTGTATTCAACCTAGGTATAATTTCACAAGCTCTGAATTCCTTAGATTATTGCTGACTGTTTAAAATGCAGTGTATTTTACCTTTATTTGTACAACAAAGCTTATTTAGAGAAAACATTTAAAACATCGAGATATATATATAGTGAATCGCCCATAAGTTAGAAAAAATTGAGATATGAGTTTTAGGCCATATGGCCCAGCCATAGTAGAGCCAAAATAGAGATACAGCTTACTGATACATCTACAGTGCCTTCGGAAAGTATTCAGACCCCTTCACTTTTTCCAAATTTTGTTACGTTACAGCCTTATTCTAAAATTGATTAAATTGTTTTTTCACCTAATCAATCTACACACAATACCCCATAATGACAAAGCAAAAACAGGTTTTTAGAAAAATAAAATAAAAAATATTTCATTTACATAAGTATTCAGTACTTTGTTAAAGCACCTTTGGCAGCAATTACAGCCTTGAGTCTTCTTGGGTATGACGCTACAAGCTTGGCACACCTGTATTTTAGTAGTTTCTCCCATTCTTCTCTGCAGATCCTCTCAAGCTCTGTCAGGTTGGATGGGAAGCGTCGCTGCACAGCTATTATCAGGTCTCTCCAGAGATGTTAGATTGGGTTCAAGTCCGGGCCACTCAAGGACATTCAAGTACAGTCGTTGGAAGGTGAACCTTCACCCCAGTCTGAGGTCCTGAGTGCTCTGGAGCAGGTTTTCATCGATCCTGACTAGTATCCCAGTCCCTGCCACTGAAAAACATCCCCACAGCATGATGCTGCCACCCCCATGCTTTACCATAGGGATGGTGCCAGGTTTCCTCCAGACGTGACGCTTGGCATTCAGGCCAAAAAGTTCAATCTTGGTTTCATCAGACCAGAGAATGTTGTTTCTCATGGTCTTAGAGTCCTTTAGGTGCCTTTTGGCAAACTCCAAGCGGGCTGTCATGTGCCTTTTACTGAGGAGTGGCTTCCGTCTGGCCACTCTACCATGAAGGCCTGATTTGGTGGAGTGCTGCAGAGATGGTTGTCCTTCTGGAACGTTCTCCCATCCCCACAGAGGAACTCTGGAGCTCTGTCAGAGTGACCATCGGGTTCTTGGTCACCTCCCTGACCAAGGCCCTTCTCCCCTGATTGCTCAGTTTGACCGGAAGAGTCTTGGGGTTTCCAAACTTCTTCCATTTAAGAATGATGGAGTCCACTGTGTTCTTGGGGACCTTCAATGCTGCAGACATTTTTTGGTACCCTTCCCCAGATCTGTGCCTCAACACAATCCTGTCTCGGAGCTCTACGGACAGGTCCCTCGACCTCATGGCTTGTTTTTTGCTCTGACATGCACTGTCAACTGTGGGACCTTATATAGACAGGTGTGTGCCTTTCCAAATCATGTCCAATCAATTGCATCTACCACAGGTGGACTCCAATCAAGTTGTATAAACATCTCAAGGATGACCAATGGAAACAGGATGCATCTGAGCTCCATTTTGAGTCTCATAGCAAAGTGTCTGAATACTTATGTAAATAAGGGATTTCTGTTTTTATTTTAAATACATTTTCAAACATTTCTAAAAACGTGTTTTCACTTTGTCATTATGGGGTATTTTGTGTAGATTGATGAGGATTTTTCTTATTTAATCCATTTTTAGAATAAGGCTGTGACATAACAAAATGTGGAAAAAGGGAAGGGGTCTGAACACTTTCCGAATGCACTGTTTATCTATAGCCAGAATAAAATGTCCTCAGAAGGCTATCTTTCTGAGGAGGGCTTCCTGCATATCTTATTTCTGTATTACATTATGTATGGTGAAGACCTGTGAGGTGTTTCTCGGTGCTGTCACAGAGGGGGAGAAGGTCTGTGTGATGCAGACAGTGAAACCAATGCATTGGATTCAACCCAACCAGAGAAAGACATCAGTCATTTTAGTACAGAATCTACCCATTTAGGATGGATTCTATCAATACAAGACATCACCTCATAAGTTATTCTTCCACACACTGTCTGGCAGGCAGTCTTGTACAGAGTACAGACAGTACTGTGAGGTGCATGTATAATTTACGGTGTACAGCATAGTGAAAGTCAAGCATGGGGTGTGACTGAGGGTGTATCAGGATTCCCCTTTGACTGAGAGGTTTGTTTAGGTGCAGGTAAAGCAATTGGAGCGACGCCTCGCCTCCTCTCCTCTCCCCTTTACTACTCCCATCAACCCGTCCAAGGTGATGAGGACAGACTGTCTCTGGGTACTTCAACCCATCCAAGGTGATAAGTACAGACTGTCTCTGGGGACTTCAACCCGTCCAAGGTGATACGGGCAGACTCTCTCTCGCTCTCTCTTTCTCTCTCCCTTTCTCTTTCTCTCTCTCTTTCGCTCTTTTTCTCTCTCTCTTTCTCTTTCTTTCTCTCTCTCTCCCTCTCTCTCTTGCTCTCTTGCTCTCTCTCTCTCTCTCTCTCTCTCTCTCTCTCTCTCTCTCTCTCTCTCTCTCTCTCTCTCTCTCTCTCTCTCTCTCTCTCTCTTTGGCACTGACAAGATGGCCTCATCTGTGTCAACTGGTGTGTGTGTGTGTGTGTGCGTATTATATGGGCCAGGTTCTGGCCCTGTTGCTCTGTCTCCAGGCAATCTGTCTGTGGTGCTCTAGCAGTGGTGACTGTCGTGATTATGTCTATTTCACACCTATATCCTGTGTTTTTTTATCATGACTGTCCGCAAACCTACATCGAAACCTATATTCCATCAAATATGACAAATATTTATGCATTTTAATGCAAGATTGATAAATGTGCACACATTGATAGAAACGTGTTGGCCTTTTCTGCTATTGCTCATTCAATATTTGATGAATCCATCTGTTTGCACCTTGCAACAAGGAAAATGGCACTAGCACAGCAGAAATGTGTTTGTTAATCACAGTGTGATTGCATGCTGTTCCATGTACTCGTATCTGTGCTGCAAGTACATCATATTCAATAGGCATTGTTTTTGGTTGCGTCATCAACTATTGACAATTCATGTTCACAGCATGACAGTTGTTTTCACATTGTGGTTGAATTTTTGTGCTTCTTGACACATCAGAACCCTCCTCCCACATGCCCGTAGAATGGGTGCTGCGTCAAGTGTTATGTTCGTCACTGTTTTCCAACCAATCAAGTCGATAAAGGCATTACAACTCCTCTGCTTTAACACTCTTAAAAAATATATAGATGTTATGGCATGTCTACCTACATGCTATGGTAAACGTTTACTGTATCAAGCGTGGCTGACAGTGTGATTTATCGAAATTGAGAGTCTGCGATTTTCCTGCCATCCTCACGCACTGTTGGAGCTCCGCCCAAGCAAGGCATTTGATTGGTTTGATGTGTTGCGAGGTGTCACTGATTTATACCAGGCTTCCACCCCATTGTAGCTACTTTCTGCCATTGACTGCACCAGGCTTACCGATTAGGTAAGGCTGGTGAAGGCTTACCAATTACTTTCTGCCATTGAATTCATAGGTTTACCCATAATGTCCCAAGTGGGCATTCTGGCCCAGTATTGGCACAGCTCATGGCTGCTGGGTTGGGGTTGGATAACCTTGCCATGGATCTGGCAACCCATCGATCTGGCAACCCATCAGGCATGGTAGGGCATGATTAGTGTAGCCGGGGATCAGATGGTGAGATGATCATACCCTGGGACTTTGTTGTTTTGGGGGTGCATTAATCCATGCATTTCATGGGTGGGCCACCAGATAAGCCAAAGCCCATGTTGTTTATCCCATCCTATATCATTCTCTATGGGACCTCCAGATACAGATAGGCCGTATTTGATAGGAGAATGAGTCACGGCACCACTGGGCAATACAGCGACAAAGGCCTGGCAGTCGATGAGCCAGCATGAAGCCAGAGAACATGTCGCTAGGAAAAAGGCCTGTAGAACTCATCAAGCTCTTTGTGAGTGTGTGAGCGAAAGAGAGTGAGAGAGGAAACCCTGAGAAGTTTCATGCAGAGAGGGGAGTCAAGGAGGCAGGCATGGAAACCCTACGGAACCACAGGAAGGAACAAAGGCAGGGCTTGAGAGAATGAGCTGGATTCTTGGAATGCACTTTAACTGGGGGCTACATGCTACATGCTGTCAGTCATTAACCAGCTGAACCTGAGTGGGGCTGTGAGGTTCCTCCTGGGAGCCAGCCGGCCAGTCAGACTCTGTGACGTAGAGTCATGTGCTCTACGAAGAACGAGGGGTCATTGAGAGGGAAAACCACTCCAATTAAGTGAACAAAAACAAACACGGGTAATCTTTGTTATGTTTGATCACTTAGTCAGCGTTTCCACCTCTTTAATTTGAATGTGTAAAGAACATGGTTGTCCTGCTACACTTCTCTTCACGGATTCTTATTCTAAAAATAATATTGTTACAGCAGTTGTGGTAACTGTTGATAAGTTACTGAGTTATAACCTCATGTTAATACAATGCAATACAAAACAACATTGCACTATAATTTCTTACTGTAACTAATGCCATTAACAGGACCCAGGTTATCACTCAACCAATTAGTGTATACCAATAATGTTGGATCTGTGACATCCACTGGTATAGATCATATCGTCACTAATGCTGCAGAGCTTTGCTCCTAAGCAATATCACTTCCCATTGACTGTAGTGACCATAACACGTGTGGCATTAACAAGGAAAGCCAAAGTACCAAGGCAGGGCCTAAAGTTATTCTTAAGAGATCATACAAAATGTTCTTTCAGGACTCTTTTGTTGAAAATGTAAAAAATGTATGTTGGTCTGATGTTTATGAGGAGAATCCAGATGCAGCACTTGGAGGATTTATACAAGTATTCTTGCCAGTTGTTGACAAACATGCACCTGTTAAAAAACTAACTGTGAGAACTGTTAAAGCCCCATGGATGTATATGAAATGATATTACCAAAACAAGATAAATTACATTAAAAAACTATGGAAAAATACTTTGGAGCACCTTAAATGATATTATGGGCAGAAAACCCAATTCCTCTTCATCGTCCATTGAAGTTGATGGGTCATTTATAACAAAACCTTTTGATATAGCCAATCATTTCAATTACTATTTCACTGGTAAAGTGGACAAACTGAGAAGTGTAATGACAATATTGAACAGTGAACCATCATATTTGTGTATTGAAGATTTAATAATGAAAGAGAAGGATTGCTGTTTTGAATTTGGTCAAGTTTGTGTGGAAGAGGTGGAGAAACAATTGTTATCCATCAGTAATGATAAGACAACAGGTATAGACAACCTAGATGGGAAACTATTGAGAATGGTATCAGACTGTATTGCCACCCCTATTTGCCATGTCTTTAACCAAAGCCTAAAGGAGTGTGTCAATGGGCGTAGAAGGAAGCTAAAGTAATTCCACTACGTAAAAAAGCACCCTTTGCTGGCTCTAACAACCAACCAATCAGTTTGCTGCCTGTTTTTAGTAAACTGATGGAGAAAATTGTGTTTGAGCAAATATAATGCTATTTTTCAAATAACAAGTTAACTACTGATTTTCAGCATGCATATAGGGAAGGGCACTGAAGTTATACTGCACTAACTCAGATGACTGATGATTAGCAAAAATAAATTTATAATAAGATGATAGTTTGAAGATGTATTGTTAGATTTCAGTGCAGCTTTTGATGTTATTGATCATAATTTGATATTGACAAAACTCACTTGTTATGGCTTTATATCACCTGCCATCACATGGTTGAAGAGTTATTTATCCAATAGAACCCAGAGAGTGTTCTTCAATGGAAGCTTTTCTAACATCAGATATGTACAGAGCGGTGTCCCTCAGGGCAGTTGCCTTGGACTGTTACTCTTCTCTATTCTTACAAATGATTAGCCACTTGTCATACAATAAGCTAAAATGACTATGTATGCTGATGATTGCACACTCTACACATCAGCACCTAAAGCCAGGGAGCTCCCTGAGACTCTTACCAAGGAGTTACAGTCAGTGTCAGAATTGGTAATTAACAATAAACTGCTCTTAAATACATCTAAAACCAAAAACAATATATTTGGTTCAAAGCGTTCTCTTAGACCTAAACCTCAACTGGAGTTGTGCATAAAGGGTGTGACCATTGAACAAGTTGAAGAAGCTGAACTCCTAAGAGTAACATTGGATGATCAGTTATCATGGTCAAGTCATATTGACAAAGTTGTGAAGATGGGGAGAGGTATGTCTGTTATGAAAAGATGTTCTGCGTTTTTTACACTAAAGTCAACTGTACTAGTTGTTCAGGCTCTGGTCTTGTCCCATCTTGATTACTGTTCAGTAATATGGTCAGGTGCAACAAAGAAAGACCTAGCAAAGCTGCAGCTGGCTCAAAACAAAGCAGCACTTAACTACACACACAGAACTAACATCAACTACATGCATGGTTGAGGGTTGACGAGAAATTGACTACTTCTAGTCTTTTTAAAAACATTTGTGGGTTGAAAATGCCTAACTACTTGTATAATATATTTGCATACACTTCAAACAGACATACATACCCCACCAGACACGCCACTATTGGTTTCTTCACTGTACCCAAACCAAAAACAGATTTAATGCGTTGTGCAGTTATGTATAGAGCTATGCCATCATGGAATGCTCTGCCATCAGAGGTTACTCAGGCAAAAAGCAAGTTTAGCTTTAAAAAACGGATAAAATACATATTTTATCACAGTGCCTAATTTAACTTTACTGTATTTAATAATTTGAATATGCGTATATGAATAGTGTGTAAATAGTATTTTTGTTGTCTCTTGGTGTCTTTCTAATATATAACTCTTATTTTATTTTTAATTTAATTTAATATAATATCTTATGTTGTTCTTGTCTATAACTGTTATGTACTTTGTCATGTATTTTTACGTTTTATGTGGACCCCAGGAAGAGTAGCTTCTGCATGTGCAGTAACTAATGGGGATCCTGATAAACTAAACTACAAAATGCTTTGCTAAATGATTTAGAGTTTTTCATTCAGCTAGTGTTTCTGAATCCATGATATGATGTCACCTTTTTCACTGTTTCTCCTAGCTACAGTCACAGTGGTGAAATCCTCCCCCCTGGTTCGTGCCGACCGGAGGTGGAATGATGAAAGATCTCTCTCTTTCTATTTTCTTTCTCTCTCTCTCTCTCTCTCTCTCTCTCTCTCTCTCTCTCTCTCTCTCTCTCTCTCTCTCTCGCTTTATCTCCCTCCCTGCCCTCGGTTTGAAATAAGACTAAGGATCATAACATCGTTGTATGTAACCGTGGAGAATAATGTGCCGATACTGAAGGATGTGAGACTGTGCCCTATGGAGGTTACACCTGTCTTGTCACATTATTATGCTCCCACATTCATTTCCATGTTTGTGGCTGGAAGAAGACATGGTTTGGTCTTTGATGTGAGGGGATTAGTGTTTGTGAGCCTCAACAGCCCTGGGACAGATTATATAGTACAGTAGGAGGTAAATTAACAACCACTTGGTCATACTCGCAGGCAGTCATACACCACCATGCTTTTACCCTCCAATATGAAAACAAGCTTAGGTTAAAAATGCTATATCCTCCTACAACATGACTGAAATAAGAATTAAAAGTATTTTTTTTAAACCTTTTACTTGGAATGCTCACAAAATGTATTAATTGTCACATACATTGGATAGGTGCAGTGAAATGGGTTGTTTTACAGGGTCAGCCATAGTAGTACGGCACCCCTGGAGCAAATGAGGGTTAAATGCCTTGCTCAAGGGCACATCGACTAACTTTTCACCTTGTCGGCTCAGGTATTCGAACCAGCGACCTTTTGGTTACTGGCCCAACCTCTAACCACTAGGCTACCTGCTGCCAAACATAGTCTATTTTCTACTTTCTTGGTAAGAACTCTCACAAGCCCCTGCAGCACTGTCATACACCTCCAATATATGACATATAATCAAATTTGAGAGGTCCCTTAGAGATTGACATTACTCATGTCTCTCTATGAAATAGCCTGGAATCTTTTGGCCAGCTGTGAATGTATTACAGATAATGATGCAGAAATGGCTGCTGTGTCATGTTAATTGCGATGTGTGTGGTGCATAATCTGCTCATTTTGCAATGACACAAGGCAGTTAGTTGGTCTTTGGGGCTCGTGTTAATGTTCCCCATCATGTTCCATTAACACTGATGGAGCTGTGAAGGCCCTAAGAGGAGGATCTTTGGGCGTAGTCTAATGACTTTGGTAGGGACAGCGATTATAGAGAAAATACCATATTTTGATGCATAAGTTAGAGCAGGGGTGTCAAACATCAATCCATTCCGCGCGAGGTTTGAGTAAAAACATGCACATTTCTCCCGGCTAGGAAATATGAGGCATTTTAAGTACAGCCCTCCAGACCTTGGTGAAGACCGAATGTGGCCCACTGGTCAAAATAAGTTTGACACCCCTGGGCTAGAAGGAGAGAGATCGAAAAGATACAGTTAGTAGGGAGGATGTTGAGGATTGTTGGGGAAGTACATTGATACTGTATGATCCGTAACCTTTCTTTCTTACTTGTTTTCATATCACCCATAACTAATTTTGGGAGGGTTCCCAGCCTATAACTTTTGTGTTGGCACTAGATGCTCTAGAATTCTCCCATCGAGTGACTCCACAGACGTGAGACATCCAATCATATTTGAGTAACACCTGAGTTTACCTGAAACCCTAGTGTGCACGATATGGAGACAGAAGCAAAAGCCCCGGGCCATAAATGATGTCAGCCGCAGAGCTGAAAGAAGAGGAGAGTGGATGACTTCAGTCAGGAAGTGGACTGATAGCTATTGAAGAGTAGGTCCCTACTGATGGAAACTCCCCTGTTTGGGTTAGGACAGGTGTAATGTATACACACACCTTGTCACAGAAGCTCAGAGGTTGGGACTTGATCATCAAAGCCTGCAGCTTTTATGAGGGTCAGTAGTTGTCATAATCACTGTCTTCATGTGAGACGGGAGGATGAGACGGAGAGAGAGAGATGTCTCTTCTTATGAATATCTCTTAGCTGCATCCTAGGATCCAGTAACCAGGTCACAGTGACTCAGTCCCTGGATGAAATGCACCAATTGACTACGCTCTGATTTCATCGATGAAAAGTCTACGTCTTCTCTTTTTAGGGCTGAAACGCATGTGTAACCTAAATGTCCCGTTGACGTCAATGCATGATTTGACACAAATATCTGAGTTAGGATTTGGCCCTTACAGAATACATTTACATATCCTGACAAACTATGACAGATCATATCATTGTGTACTGTATTATCTTGCTTTAGCACATGAAACAGGTAGATTTCCCTTTATGGAAACACTGTAGGTGTGGAACGACCCACACGTGTACTTTCGTTTTCAGCTACAGAGAATGTTAGTGTTAACCAGTGAATGAAATATCCCTCATGAAAGCGGTTTGGCACAACGTTCCTCTCTTTGTGACCCATTTGTCAACAGAGAGGTTTTACACCTTCATGGTAATCACTCAAACTCTTTTTACATTTATTTTGTCCCCATATATCAATATTAGTTCTGATCATTTCCACATGAGCAAAATCATTAAATAGCCAGAGATATTGTGCCATGAATAGTCCTTATGGATTATGATATTGATTCAAGATGATCGTTTGAGTGATGTTCTGTTTTCCATGCATGTTTTAGAGGAAGTGGAAACTGTGGCTGATGCCCTGACTCTCAGAGGTGCCAAAGACCCCAGTTCCCTGTTTTTCTTCTCCCTCTGTGAAAGTACCCCAAAACCAGAATGTATTCAACAGAAAGTCACCCTGTGGTTTTGTCTCACAGACTTTCTCTCACTTCCTTCACACTTTTGGCCCTTAATGTCCTCTTGACTTTCCCTGCTGTGATATTTCACCATGTCCTCCCTCACATTGACATTAAGGTCGTGCTTTCTGTCACAGCCCAAACCACCTTTCCTCCCCCAGACTATTTCCACTTGATCTGACAACGGATGCTGTACTATGGAGGCACGATAAACTGTGAAAGCATGTCGTTGTTGTTCCTGACCTGTACTGTTTTTAACTTGTTAACCACAGGACATTGTAGATATGAGTGGACCCCTGATGGCATATCATTTTTTGTTGTTGCAATTTACAGACATTTGATGTTTTCATGTTTTGAAGACACATTCCACACACTCTCTCGCTCTCTCTCTCCTGTCTCCCTCTCTCTCTCACTCTCTCTGTCACATACACACACACACCGGCTGTTGTGAGGTCGTCACCCAGCTCTGGGGTGAAACATGATCAGCCACAGTTCTCCTGGTGTGCTGCCAGCGCCAGCCAGGGACCACACACACTTCCCAGGGGGCCGAGGGTGAAAACTTTGAGGTTTTATGCACCATTGAATCTGAGATTATTTATTTTTCCATTCGCTTTCATCCAAATACGTAGGTGTGGAATTTTTTTACTGAAATCCTACTCAATGTATAAATCTTCCATTTATAAGGTTCTTGCATTTTGCAAGGCGAAACTGATGCATTCAGAGAAAATATCTGTTGTTTGTACTGACTTGGCTTTTGTCAGTCATGAAGCAGCCATGCAGACACACACAAACACACACATCCATTCACCAGCCTATCCATGTTTGACCATGAATTAATAGTTCTCTACACTCACTGACTGCTGGGGTTATTCCTGGCCAGCGCAGCAGTGTGAGTTTCTATCACATAGCTGGTCGGCTAGCTGAGCTGTCTGTTACCATTTTAAACTGGGCTGGGGTGGTGACTCACCCTGGGTTGGCTGGGCTCTGACCAACATAACACTAAGCTGTGGTAGGTCATGATTCACTCCTCCTGCACCCTCCGTTTAGTCACCACCACACGCCAAAAATACTCTAAAGCCTACTACACCGTGACCGCGCTCCCCACTGACTGGCTGGCTAGCATGGATGCCTTCCTGCTGTTACCCATGAGGAATACCTGCCCAGGCCCTCTGAGGGAGAGGGTTTACTGTGGCACATTTAACTGGAGTCACTGACCCTGACGTGGACTAGAGAGAGACATTGACACTTCTCTGTAAAGGTGTCTGAGGTATGCATTGCATAAGTCATGGTTGTGGTGGATGTTACGCCGCATCCATCTATGCAACATTACAAATAAGCTCTTTTTGGGGGAGAAATCAAATGTACAGCTTCAGTAGAATACAGCTGTGGAGACTCATATCTTCAGTAGAATACAGCTGTGGTCTCAGATATCTTGGTCTGACTAAGTTTGTGACCCACATTGTGGGCCAATTGCTTGTTCATGATTTCCCTCAGAAAATGTGTGCATGTCTGTGTGCTGAAGTAGCGAACAAGGGGGAAGTGAGTATTGATAGTCAGTGGCCAGGGATGGGAGCCGCTGTATCATGTCAGCGTCTAGAGGGGAGTAGATTGTAACTTACACCACTACTACTACTGCACACACACAAACTCTCACACACACACACACACTCCCTCTTTTTCCTTATCTCTCGCTGGCTCTTTCTCTCTATTCTGCAGTTAAATCATGAACTACTCACAAGGGATGATCTCTCCTCTTCATAATGTTTGAATTTCAGATAACGTATGCTCTTACTTAGTCCATTTGAAATTAATCAGTCCCTTAAATTGAACAGGCTGGCCGTGCACAGGTCGACTCGCCCTTCAGTTGCGTCTCGAGTAACCCTTAAATATGCCATTATCCTGTCTGCAGGGCCAGTGGAGAGCTTGTTTGCAGTAAATTCAATTTCACTTGACAATGCCAGGGTGACTTATAGCAGTAAAGAAGATTGAGAGTTGCACAAACAGTATTAGGGATGACCTCAGAAGACATATACCATGGGTTTCACTGACCTTCTGAAAGTGAGACACCCTAACCCTGATTCTTGAACAAAGAGGTATTGTTAAACACAGATGATGATGTCACTGGTGCATTTACGTCCCAGCAGCTCAGGGCAAAGGCCCTGGTAATGTACTCTGTTGCCCATATCCTTTTGCTTTCTTAATGTCACTCTTTGTATGATGTCTCATGCAACCTAATGGCCCTATTGGTTACTGATTATGTCTTGGAGGAAAATAAGTCAGGCGTTGTGTTTTCAGACGTAGCCGTCGAGCTGGGTCTCACATAAAACCCACTCTCAAACCCTCCTCTTCTTATTCTCTCTCACACACACCCCCAACGCGCACACACGCAGACACACACATTTTCGTGAGTTGAAAATAAGACATAATCAGGGCAGGGAGAAGACAGGAGGGAGGGAAGTAGGGCATAACTGTTGTCAGTGGTGTATAGTGTACACTACCACCACCATCGGCCCTCGAGTGGGGAGCCCTGAATTATTACTGTTTGTTAATTAATATTTCTCTGCCAGCCCAGAGGAAGACTATGGCCCCGCTCTCTGTGCTCTTTGATAAATAATTTACGCCTGTTTGCTTATAATCCTGCTGGTTTACTCTCTATCAGATCTGCCGATGGCCACGAGGGGTGTGTTTTCTCGCTCCCTCTCACTCAGGGGGCAGCCTTAGATGTGTGGCTGTTTGATGGATGCAGATAGGTTGAATATAGGCTAGCCTCACTTTAAAATACCATGTTATAATATTGCTCACTAAATTACTCATAAGTTTCTGTGCATTCCCTGTGGAAATTCCAGGTTGAATAATGTATTGTATAATTGTATAATAGAGCATTTATTTTCTGTGACTCACCTGGATTTTATTTTTACATTGTGATTATTCTTTTGTCTATATATATTTTTTGAGTTGTTACTATGGGAGATGATGTGGGTCTACATGGCATTCCTTTGAGTTGAGCTTCTGAGGTTTTATCATGGCTATCACAGCTGTGCTATCTAGTGCTGATCTTGTTCATTTGCACCGCAGGCAGAGACAGTGTGGCCCAGAAGAGCTGTTCAATATTTAATTGTTGTCACTGATACAGCTTCATAAGTCATCCACAAAGGGGACTTGGGGGCGGACCCTCCCACTGTGCCCTTTGTTAATGTGTTTGTTTATTGCCTTTGTAATGTCACACACACACACACACACACACACACAGTTCCTCACTTGGCTGATAGTCGTTGCTCATATAATAGTGTAGCCTATCATCAGTTGATTATCTCTCTCATCATCTGAGAGACTGATTCTCTCATTCTCTATATCAGTCTGTTGTGGTCTATGACGACTGGTGTATATCTCCGAGTTGCAGTCTGATTTTGCCTATTGTCATGACTCTCCTGGCTGAGGATCCAAAGGCCTCAGATCAGCTTGGCAAATGGCTGACAACAACCAGACCCTCTCACCCACAGAAGAGGGGAAGGGGGGCTGGGCCGGTTTTGACACCTTAACACTGGGTGGTAAATTAGGCAGGAGGGGAATCTCTGTCCTGCTCTCTAGTATTGGTAAATGAATGTGCTTTGTCTCCAGAAGACTTTTGCCGGCAAAACACTGGAACAATATTCCTAACATCCGAATGTTTGGAATGGTCAGTGGGGATCTAAAGAATAATCATGTCATATTGTTTATTTTTTTGTGATGTCATTAAGGATGGTATCAAGAAATAACTGTAACTCGGAAAGTGTACACATTCTATCTGTCAAGTTTACACCCAAATGTTGTATAAAATATATGATTAAAGATTAGAGTATTTTTGTTAAGATAGGAATGTGATTTTAGTATTCTAATGAGATAATGGTTTTTCATATAAACTATGCACAGTGACTAGCCACGCCCCAAGTTAGCACAGACATCATGTCAGCGTGATGGAACACCCCCCTTTTACCAGAGTGCATAAAAAGCCTTGGTAACAAATACAATCAGACCAGAAAGTGTGAAGCTGTGGACGCACGGCTTAAAATGGTTAGACCAGACGGACTCAAACTGCAGCTTAGGTCTCCATTGGTTACGACCCTGAAAATCAACACGAGGTGAAGACGACAAAGTCGCCTCTCTAACAATCAATATTACGGCTGAGTAGCTGTTGTAAGTACTGTATCTAAGAAGGTGAATTTAAGTAGGAGCATCCTGTTACTCTCTTCAAACCATTGTCTACTACACTGCTCTCATCACCCCACTGGGGATCATCGACACGGCTGATTAGCTGTCTTCAGAGGACCACTCTTCCTGAATGACCAGTCATTTAAGCCATGGACAACTAAGAAGAAGGACATTATGACCCCTGGTGCACAATCAGAGACTTACACTCCAAGTTCGAGAAAAGGTCCAACCGAACCCTTCACAAGAAGGCTTGTGTCCAACAGAGATAAAACGACGAAGGAAGACATTCAGACACGTAAATACATTCATGACTTCTTCTCCAAACGGGTGGTGGTTAGGGTGCTAAGTATTCTGATTACTGTGAGCATAGTTTCCAAATGTATGTACGATAAGTTTGATTCTCTTTGCCCTCTCTCCCTCCTTCTTTATCTACCCCTCCCTTTCCTTTGATAACCAAGCAGTCATGCTGTTGTTAGTCCACTAGGGACTTTTTCTCATGTATTAAGTATGTATGTATTCTGTGTTATTATTTAGTTAGTTAGTAAATAAATAATTAAGCCAATTTGTGTAGTGCTGAATCATATGTAAAGCTGGAGTTCTTGCAGATCCAAGGAGTATGCGACGTTCAGAATTATTGTAATGAGGTAATGATTAATAAGTGACTGTTATCGATATATAACACATATATCATTCGGGAGATGGTAACTCTATAACTTCTTCCGTGGTGCCCCAAATTCCTAATGATTTAATTGTTACATGATTAATTTAATCGGGTAACAATTAAACATAGTTAGTTGATTCGATAAATAACAGTCATCACATTAATGAAAGTCACAACACTATACAACCTCTTGGTACACTGTAGCCTATTGCAATATAGTCACCTACAGGCAAACCAAGGCAAAACAGTCCTAATAGATTTATACTGTAAATATCCATCCTCAGTTCACACCCTATTTCACCCAACTAGCTCTATCCTCAGTCTGAACTAGCCAAAGCTGAATTATATTCAATATGATACCAGAACTGTGACATGCTGGGAGGGGAAATAGAAGGGAGGAGAGGGGGTGAGGAGAGGATGTGAGAAGGAGGGGGTGAGGAGAGGAGGTAAGAAGGAGGGAGTGAGGAGAGAGGTGAGGAGGAGGGGGTAAGAAGTAGGGGGTGAGGAGGGGGATACGTTCTCCTCCACTGGCTCTCATCAAGTATTAACAGTTGAACTCCCAGAAGCCTGGAGTAATGATTATACAGTTTGCAGCTTGTGAGATTATAGCTGCCTGTCTGTCTATAAGCTGTCTGTCTGGCAGACAAATATGATGTTGAAATATATCACCCCCACACAGCAGACAACATGATGAAACAACCTGCAAACGCTTGTTTACAGAAACAGACTGTTTTAAAAAATGTATCCGGTGTTTGTGGTGAGTTTGACAGCCAAGAGCAAGTGTCATGATTAACAATGATAGCTAGTCTAATTTACAAAGGTATGTCATGGGGTTGCTAGTCTAATTCACAAAGAGTTTGTATAGGTATTGTCACTGGGTTGCAGTGATGGCAAATTTCCATTGACATATCAGTGTGTTAAAAGTTATTTGCCTGTGGTTGATTTGTGGTTTTGTCCTCCACATTTCCAACTGACACAGAGACATTAGTTATGTTCTGCTGCTGGCCTGCTTAGCTCACAGAGACTAAGAACGAGAGAACCTCGAGACTAGAGCAGTCAATCTGTTCAATCAAGTTCTGATTCTTTTCAATCAAGATTCTGATGAATGGAATCAGGTGCATTACTGTAGTCATACTGAACACCGCTGCACTAGAGAAATACACTAGATGTTAAATGTTGACCAGGGGAAAACACATTAGTGCTAAAATGTATGAGGAGAGGAACACCAAAGAGGCCTAGAGTATGTTCCTCCTCCTCTTATGATGATGAGAGCCTTTTCTCCCCTTTTGATTTTATTAGGATCTCTTTTAGTTCTAAAGGAAACCTGAGGGTGAATAGCGGATTCTGAGATTATTCCCATCTGGAGACTGTTCCTTTGCTGCAGGCCTCTAGCTCCAGGCTCTGCACATTACAACACCATGACTCAGCAGAAAGAAACCCCTCCAAGCCTGATGAGTCCATACACATACACAAACATGCACAAACACACGCACAAATATGCACATATACAAACACACATGCACAAACACACGCACACATACGCACACGTACAAACACGCACACATACACACATGCACAAACACACGCACAAATACGCACACGTACAAACACATGCACACATACACACATGCACAAACACATGCACACATACGCGCACACACACACACACACACACACACACACACACACACACACACACACACACACACACACAATCACAGGTGCACACACACTCCTGGGCTCAGACAGACAGACTGCAGCCTCAGCTGTCTGTACTGTATGCTACAGGAGCTTTAAGTGCTCCAGTGTTAAGATGAGCACAATGAAAGGCTTTGCATTGAATGGCTTTGAATCAATGTGGACCCATATTGAGTGGCACTGACTAAGACTTTCTGCACATACATAATATATTTATTTTCAATACTTTTATTGTCACATTGAATGATTCAATGTACTCTAAACAAACAGCGCATTAGAGCCCTTATCTCTAATGTCATCGTTGTCCTTTCCTAGGCATCAGCACACAACAAGATAATGCTGTTTGTGCAGTAGGCTAGTAATCTCACAAGCCTGCTTACAAATCTCCATGAACATCTGAGCTATGAATGTGGGTCAAGAGAGACTGGTACAGAGACTACATGTGTATCCTATTAGGAAGTATCAGGGGATGTGTGTCAGGTTGCCTTGAGGAGGTGTTGAAACTGGGATTCTCTGTTGAAGCTGTTGACGGAGAGGTGATAGAGAGACTGTGGTATGTCCGCTGTCTAACCCAACAGAACAGAATACATGCACATGGACACGTCTGTACGCGTATGGAGGAGAGAGAGAGTGTTTTCTTTTCTCCATATAAAAAAATACATTTCTACAACCTCCAAGTAATTGGGTCCTTTTCATCCTTTGCGTCCATTGACCGTGCATCCAACCAACGTCTTGTCTCTCGCTGTGTGTGTGTGTGTGTGTGTTCTGCAGGGTGTGAGCGGGATGTCTCTGGATGTGGGTGCCCAAGCCGGGTCCAGGGAGACACCCATGTACGTGTATGAGTCGACGGTGCACTGTGCCAACGTGCTGCTGAGTCTGGAGGACCAGCGGCGGCTGAACATCCTGTGTGATGTGACGGTGGTGGTGGAGGGGACGGAGATCAGGGCCCACAGGGCCGTCCTGGCAGCCAGCAGCAGATACTTCCTACAGGTGCTACTGGGACACACACACCCCGAGCAGGAGCCAATCATCAGCCTGTCTGACAAGGTGAGTAATGACCAATGATGCACATTGTATGTCTATGCTAACACCCTGAGAAAGCACCAATAACCTGACTTGACTTGACAGACTTTAAGCTCCCCTCGGCATTGCTATTTATATACTGTTATGCTGCTATATTATAACAGCCCTTCCATTACATTCAGAGACCTGTCCTAGTGTGGTAAAATGGGCGTGTCAGTCAGTCAGAGAGAGAAGGAGAGAGAATCTAGACTTTTATTGAGTCCTCAAAATTCACTCTCTTTTGTGTTCATGTGTCTGTGTAGGGCGGAGGGAGGAGGGAGGGAGGGAGGGATGAGGGAGGAGGAGAGAGGGAGAGGCGATTAGATGAGAGATGAGGATGCTCTATATGAGAGACTCTCTATCTATTCTCTGTCTCAGCTCTTAGCTCCTCTCCTCTCTCATCTCCTCTACTCTGATATCGCTCTCTCTCTTCTTCTCTCTCGCTCTCTCTATCTAGAGCGCTCTCTCTCATCTCTCTCTCCCTAGCTTCTCTCTCTCTCTCTCTCTCATCCTCCCTAGTCAACCTCCACCCCTGCATTAGGCCGAATAGGCCAATGTCCCTAGATAATAAAAACTCAAAAAAAAAAGAGCAATGAAGTTTTGGAAACATATAAAATACAGTGACATCCTCTCATATCATTACCAAGCCCTGCAATGCCAAGAGCTGAGCAAAGAAAATAGTCCCCTCATCCAGCGGGTCCTGGGGCTGAGTTCACAAACCTGTTCTTCTAACACACTGAACACACTGAAGCCCAATCAATTAGAATAACAACCAGATTACAACACAGTCAAAACAAAACTACACTACCTATTGGGAAACACAAGCACAAAGTAAAATGTAGTGCTATCTGGCCCTAAATCGACACCATGGCAAACTATTTGCCCCGGGTTTCTAAACAAAACCTTAGAAAAGCCTTGACAAAGTACAGGCTTAGTGATCACAGTCTTGCCATTGAGAAGGGTAGACACAGGAAAACCTGTCTCCCTATAGAGTAAAGGTTGTGCAACCACTGCACCACAGCAGAACCCGAGATAGAGCTGCATTTCCTGACAGAATGTAAAAAATATAAAATATTACAGAGTGTCATTTCCCCAAACCTCTCTGATGAGAATAGGTTACCCGTCCTGTTGGGGGAAGACGCAGAGAGCTGTGGGTTGGCAGCGCACTACATTGCTGCCTGCCATAAGATAAGGGACAGTGTCTGACAGACCAACCAACCTGCATGTCCTCTATGCCATTGTTATTGTCCATTGTATGGTTATTTTTACTCTTGATTATTGTTGATACTGATTGTAATTTTGAGTATTATTATTATTTTAATTATGTTAATATTGTAAATTAATAATTTCCATGTAATTTTCAAAGTACGCTTTTGCAATATGTACATTGTTACGTCATGCCAATAAAGCAATTTAATTGAAATTGAGAGAGAGAGAGAGAGAGAGAGAGAGAGAGAGAGAGAGAGAGAGAGAGAGCGAGAGAGAGAGAGAGAGAGAGAGAGAGAGAGAGAGAGAGAGAGAGAGAGGCGGCCGGGTAGCTTGCTCGGTGGTCACACTTTAGCATTCCATTGCTTGTTTATGTAGTGTTGGCAGGATTCTTGAAAACCCTGTGTGAATTTTTTGAATCAGTGATACATTATATTTCTGCCGCTGTAACTAATCGCGGGCGGAACAGCCCCGGCCCACATTCCACTGGCTCCATTAGCATATAATGTCCTAGATCTGTCAATTTGATTAATACTGTATGTCTCTTTGACTCTACCTCATACAGTAATCACTATCAATGACTTTACATGTCAAAATCCATCCTCTAATGACTAGAAAGCATGGCTTATTTTCCACATCTCTCTTCTCTTTCTCTACAGGCATTCCCTCTCTCCTTCTACCTCTCTCGCCTCCTTTATCCTTTGTAGTGTGGATTTTCTCTTTCTCACTCACACTAATTTTCTGTCTATCCATCCTTTCGCTTCCCTCCTTTTTGCTTTGTAGTATCTCGCTCTTCCTCTCTCTTCCTCTCTCTCTCTCTCTCTCTCTCTCCATTTTCTCTCTCATTCTATTTTCCCTCTCCTTCTCTCCCTGTCCTCATTAGGAAGGCTGATAGTAACATTAAAGGAGGCTTGTCTGGCTTCTGTGTTTTCATAAAGACATACTTCTGTGTTTTCATAAAGACATGCTTCTGTGTTTTCATAAAGACATGCTTCTGTGTTTTCATAAAGACATGCTTCTGTGTTTTCATGAAGACATGCTTCTGTGTTTTCATAAAGACATGCTTCTGTGTTTTCATAAAGACATGCTGCTATGTGTTCATAAAGACATGCTTCTGCAGGCACATGAGGCAGCTGCTGACGCTAGCTGAAAATAGACCCTCAGAACACTCAACACTCTAACGGCACTCTACCTCCCCCAGCCCCCGACACACACACACACACACATACACCAGGCCTGCTGGCTATCAGCTACTAAGAGAGAGAACAGGAGAGAGATGATGGGGGGATGGGGGAAGACTAGAGAGGATAGGGGAGAGGAGAGGATAGAGGGGGCTAGGAGGGGAAAAGGAGGGGGAGAGGATAGGGGAGAGGAGAGGATAGAGGGGGCTAGGAGGGGAAAAGGAGGGGGAGAGGATAGGGGAGAGGAGAGGATAGAGGGGGCTAGGAGGGGAAAAGGAGGGGGAGAGGAGAGGATAGAGGGGGCTAGGAGGGGAAAAGGAGGGGGAGAGGATTGGGGAGTAGGTGAGCTGAAGGGGGAGAGGACGACAAAGGAGAGACATATTTTAAGGGTGGGTGACTTTCACCTTCAGAGAGGGATGAGCCCCCAGGCACTCATTGGGATGACGGTGGGAGGTTGAGGTGATGTGCTCCAGTTAGTTTGTTCTCCCCCCCCCCCTCCTAATGTTTTTGTCAAAATGTCTGTCAAAATAAAACATGAATGTGTAGTCCACACTGCAGGGTTTGTTCAACTGTGTGTGTAAGCAGTGTAAGCAGCAGCCTTTTCCCAACTCTCACACTCCCCACACAAAATCCCCAGGACCAGTAACAACACAACAGATTCTAACACTGTGTTTCCTCCTCTCCTCCGCTCATCAGGTCACAGCCAGGGGGTTTGCCCCGCTGCTACAGTTTGCCTACACAGCCAAACTGGTTCTAAGTAGAGAGAACATCCATGAGGTGATCCGCTGTGCTGACTTCCTGGGCGTTCACAACCTAGAGGACTCCTGCTTCCGTTTTCTGCAGGCCCAGCTGCATAGCGACACCACTGATCACAACAATGGCCTTCTTTGTCGCAAGGAGCTGCCGTCGTCGGCGCACACTGATGACCTCATCACGGAGGACGACGGTGGTGGAGGTGGTTCTGCGTCGTCCGAGACCCCCAGGGTGACGTCATCCTCTGCGATGAGGTGGCGACCCAATCACTCGACCCTCATGCCCCTCACCAGCAGCCTGACCTCTGACCTCCCACGATGCGCCAAATACAGGAAGTACCAGCAGGCCTGCGCCAAGCACAACGGAGAGACCGAGGAAGATGACAGTGTCACCTCGGCCACCTCGTCACGCTGCCGTGCCTCAGCCTCCCCAGGCCGCTCAGAAACCAGTATCACCCGACAAGGGGAACACCCCCTCTCCCCCTCCAGAATCAAAGAGGAGCCCCGCTCCGGGGGCGAGGGAGAGGGGAGTCCCCCAGGACTGTCAGAGGATAGCCAGAATGTCCTGGAGATGGAGCTGGAGCTGGAGGGGGGGCCAGGGCCCTCAGCACGTCCACCCAGCAGAGGCTCTCCATCCTGCCTGCGCTCCTACCTTCAGAGGGGCCTCCTGGATCTCAGCAACCCAGCCAGCACTCTACCTTCCACTCCTCCCACCCAGCAGCTACTGACCAACAGAATCTCACTAGCCCATAACAGGGACAGAGACAGGGGGGCATCTCAGGGGGAGGGTGTAAGGGACCTTGGGGCAGTATCTACAGGGGCAGTGGGTTTATCTGATGGAGACATGGAGGGGGTAGTAGAGGACATGGCCATGAAGCCACTCGTCTCAAACGGAGTCATCAAACAGGAAGTAGAGTTGGATCGCCGCAGCAGCGTCATCTTCTCCCCCGGGGCATGTGACCATCTGGGAACATCGTCTCAATCCTACTCCGACCGGAAGTCTCTGGAAAAAGATCTGTTGGAGATCACGTCAAAATCCCTGTGGACAGGTGTTAGTCAGTCTCTCCCCTGCCGGCAGACATACTCTCCCCTACCCTCCTCCACCACCCCCTCCACAGCCCTCCAGGACCCCCTGCCAACTATGGCCTGCCGACCGCGGCCCACCACCAGCTGCCCTCTGCCCATAAAGATCTCCCCCTGCTCCCCTGCCTGCGAGCCCTGCACACGCACGACCAGCTCCTGCTCATCTTTCTCCTACCTGGAGGACGGGGGCAGCGGGGACTCGCCCTCCAGCCTGCCCCAGTTTGAGTTGTCCTCCTCCCCATGCTCTGTGTCGGGCTCTGGCCTGGTGGGGGAGCAGAGGGAGCACGGTGGGATGGTGGTAGGGGAAGCCATCTTCTCTCAGGGCCGCACCAAGATCAAGTGTGAACGGACGTACGGGGCCAACTCCAGTGATGAATCTGGGTCCTTCTCAGAGGGAGACAGTGATTCTGGCCCTGCCAGAGAGCCAGGTCCTGAGGTCAGTATCATTTATCTATCTATACTCCATATTGAAATTGTGATCTGTGCTATTCAAAATGGGTTTTGCCAACAACTAAAATTGCTCTGACAAAAT